AATATCTTCTAACATATCAGTCGTGTCAACTGTCGGATTGCTGACTTCAGTGAATTCTTCCTCTGATTGCATCACCGGGACGTCTTCACCGTGATGACTCCAAAATACATAAGAGCTATCAAATCCATTGATTGACAGATGAAAACTTACGTCACTCCTAGCGAGCATTTTACCGTTCATGCAATTCTTACAAGGACAGAAAATCAACCCGCTTAGCGACCGTAGAGGGCTTGTGTCAGAGTAGGCTAAGAAAGCTTCTATCCCATCCTTGTACCAGGTGTCTAGATGTCTTCGATCACGTGGTATGCTCATGAACGATTTGTCAGGAACTGTCCGCATCTATAATTTAAAAATTAATGGAAATGAGCATATCCCGACATATATCATTTTAATTTAGGGATGTAAACGTGTGTTCAGAGGACCGTATGTGTGACCGGCTGTTAGAGAAAGGTTTCTATCCCATTAGGTATGTAAACGTGACGTGTATATGTATTTATGTGTGTTCAAGTGTACTTTCAATTCGTCAAAATTTGTAAGGAGAGAACGTAAATTACTATAGAAGGTCTTTAATAAGGTTATGAATGTTGCGCGCAGACTGGACAGATCCAATAAATATTTATATATAAGCCCCCTCTCACATACGCGTACAAAAAAGTTATCGGACCGAACAAGATGGTCTCGTATCCGCCAACGATCCTGTACGCGTATGTGACAAGTAAAAAAAGAGATTACATATAGTATTTATTGGACGGGGTATTCTACGGCTCGAAAATATAAGTGTACGGTGTGTGTAGTTTCTATGTAATTAATGATATAATAGTTACGCTAACCCATTATCGATCCTCACCCCCACCCTCACCTAACCCTAAACCTAACCCTAACCCTCAACCTCAACCTCAACATCACCCCCACCCTCACTCTCACCCTCACCAAACCCTAACCCTCACCCTCACCTTCACCGTCCCCTAACCCCTAACCCTAACCCTAACCCCGCCCTTACCCTCACTGATCCCTAACCCTAACCCTCACCTAACCCTAATCCTAAACCTCAACCTCAACCTCACAATCACCCCCACCCTCACTGATCCCTAACCCTAACCCTCACCAAACCCTAATCCTAACCTTAATCCTAACCCTAACCCTAGCCTAATCCTAATCCTAACCTAAACCCTCACCTAACCCTAACCCTAACCTTCACCCTCACCCTCACCTTCACCCTCCCCTAACCCTAACCCTAACCTAACCTTAACCCTCAACCCTCACCCTCACCCCTTACCCCTCACTACCATCCCCACTCCTCACCCTTACCCTTGCCTAACCCTAACCCAAACCCTCACCTAACCCTAACCCTAACCCTAACCCTAGCCCTAACCCTCACCTAATCCTAATCCTAACCCTAACCCTCATCTAACCCTTATCCAAACCCTAACCCTAACCCTCGTCTAACCCTAATCCTAACCCAAACCCTAACCCTAGCCCTAACCCTCACCCTCACCTAACCCAAACCCAAACCCTCACCCTCACCCTCACCTAATCCTAACCCTAACCCTCACCCTCATCGTCACCCTCCCCTAACCCTAACCCTAATCCTAACCTTAACTATCAAACTCACCCTCACCCTCACCCCCACCCCCATCCCTCACCCTCACCTAACCCTAACCCTAACCCTAACCCTCACCTAATCCTAATCCTAACTCTAACCCTCGCCGAACCCTAACCCTCGCCTAACCCTAATCCTAACCCAAACCCTAACCCTAACCCTAATCCTAACTCTAACCCTAACCCGGGGGGGAAGAGGAGAAGGGGTCGGACCAGGGGGGAACCTAGGTATTAATTTCGGGCGCGGGCTGCCCAAAAAATTTGGGCGCCCGCGCCCAAAATTTTTTGCCTGACATAGTTTTTAGCGACGGAAATTCCGTCGCTAAAAACAATTTAGCGACGGAATTTTCGTCGTTAAAAATAATTTAGCGACGAAAAATATTTTTTGTCATAAAATATTTTAGCGACGAAAATATTCCGTCGCTAAAACCTACAATTCCGTCGCTATAAGTATTTTAGCTACGGAATAATAGCGATAGAATTTTCCGTCGCTATAAACTAACATATAGCGACAGAAAATTCCGTCGCGATTATTCCGTAGCTAAAACCTCATTTTCTACTAGTGCTAGTTGTCACGTCAAGTGTTGGTTTAATATTTATGATTAGACATCTCGTTTTGTTAGATGAGTATATAAGCTCATACTTGTTGTCTCCTTTTGTAAATATTAATTGTCCTAATATTGTATCCTAATTCAACTGATTTGAAATTGGAAACTAGAACATGTATAATCATTATTTTTTTCGGCTCTCACCATCAATGTTTTAGAAAGCACTTGGCCTTTCTAGGTGTCAGACCTTGCGCTTAGCGCCCAAGCGCCTTGGTGGACGCTTAAGCGGCACATAGATGTTTCTAACATCGAGAGAGGAATGATTATTTTCAAATGTTCAAATCATATCCTCACTGTTTTATCTGAGGTAGACTTAGACATAATTTTTTGATCTCTGATACATTTTAACCTGGTTAACTCTATCTCTTCAACCGTTACTATGATTAAGTTACCTTTTTCTTACATTGTATATTTAGCGTAAGCATCCCCTTCTCCCATAGGCGCTCACAAGGCTTAGACGAGTGGCCTACGTACTGCTTAGGTTTAAGCGGCCACCTAAGCAAGTACCTAGATGACCTTTTAAAATAATGCCCACCATTATGATTTTCTATCAAGGGTCTAGATCTATAGGGTTTTCCCCCTTTATAATTGGGACCACTAGCCGTGTGCTCAATTCAACCCTGTTTGCACACAAGTGCATGCAAGGTACTCAGGACTATCTCAATCAGTAAGGCTTCGTTTGGATACCATGGTGTGTTTTTTTTTTTTTGTAAGAAAACACCATGGTGTTGTGTTTTTCTCTTAAAATGTTTTCAAAACACCATGTTAAGTATTTTTTTTGACACTAGTTTGACCAATTATAACATTAGTATTAAACATATTATTAATATATTATATATTAATTATAATAAAATATATTATAATTAATAAAATGTTATAATATTTAGTTTACATTATTATAGTATTATAAGTATTAAATGTAATGCAATATAATATTGTATAATGTATTATAATATTATATTGTACTTTAATGAGTTATATTATATTATAATTATTACATATTATTTTCAAATAATTATATATTTAATTATTTTGGTATATTAATTTGTTATTGTTGTATATTATATTAATATTTTTATAATAATTTTATTTTATTATTAATATAATATTATACTATTATTAATATAATATAATATTATACTATTATTCATATAATATAATATTATTAATAATGTTAATATTATGTTATTACTAGTATGTTATTAATAAATTAATATATTATAAATAATATGTTATAGTTATTAATTTATTACAATTTATTTATTAAAAAGTTAATAATATTATAGCGATTATAATATTGTATAGTATATTATTATATCATTATTATATTATTATTTATTATCAATAATTTTTATTATTTTTATTATTTTATTTATATTTTATTATTATTTTATTATTATATAATACATTGTTAACATATTAAATATTGATATTTAATATGTTAATAAATAAAATATCTACAATAATATAGTATCTTTTTATATTATTTAACAAATATTACTAATATATTAAATTAACTATAATATAGTATAGTATAGTATAGTATAATAAGCACGTTGATAATAACTCTATAATAATTATATTTAATATATTACGTTAGATATTATATTAACACATTCTCAAAATCAAACCTGAAACATCAAACTTAAAACACATAAAAGGTGTTTTGAAATAAGTGTTTTGTTTTTGGTTTGAGGATGATTTAGCTCAAAAAATACCATGGTTTTCAAACGCTTGTTGTTTTATTTTTAGCAAAAACACCATGAAAACAAATAAAACACAATGGTATCCAAACAGAGCCTAATGTTTGGTTGCATGTTTTTGAAGAGGAAAGCATAGAAAGAGTCAAAGTTGTGGGGCCAACCTTTAGTTTCCTCAGATTTACCATTAGCGACTTTTGTGCTGACGTGTCTCCCCAAAAACCACCAATTTGGGTGGAAAGCTAATTGATTGTCAAACGAAAAGAATTAAAAATAAAAACCCAACAAATCCTTTAGCAAAAATCTAGATCTCAGGGGTAAAGTGTAAATACGGATGATTTGAGAGTAAAATTAGACTTTTTGAGTGGGGTTCACATAACCATCACTTTCTACGTTTACATAATTTTTAATCCAAACCAAGCAATCCTATCATTTTAGGATTCACAAGAAATTAATCCAAACAAAACAATGTGAATACTAGAAGGAGAAGGTGATGAGGTGGACAATCACTTTCCATATTGCATTGTAAATATCTAACTTTCCCCAAAGCATCTAAATGGGCTCTAAATGAGTACTAGTCCACATTGATTTTGAAATTTGAATGCATGTATTGGAATATTTGTCTCATGTATGTTTGGCTGTTAAATTCTACAACTGGAATTCCGATGTTATTAAAATTCCACAAATTTCTAACTTAATCTAGTTTCCATCCCAAATCGCGTTTTGTTTGAAGGGTGTTGATAATGATAATTTTCCAATTCTAACATTGATAGAGTAAGCTTGTTCGTTTCAGCAGAAGGTGAAGAATCAAGGAGATTTTCAACACCCACCAGTAACTCTAAGCATCCACTCTCTATTCGCATTATCTGAGTGCATGCGAGGTCCACGTAAACATTCCTTATACTAATTCCTTTCCTGTCTAATTAACAAAATCCCTTAATTCAAAACAGCGCTAATATTCCTTACCTTTCTAACAAAATCCTCTAATCCAAAATAGATGATTCATGGCAAGGTTAGTAACAGCTTAAATTGAACTAGAAATTAAAAGATAGAAAAATCGTCAAAGGGGAGGGATTCAAGAGAAAATAGAAAATAAACTGTAGGGTGGTGCATCTCATCTCCTTTATCCCTCTAACCAATTACAAGAAGCATAAAGATTAATATGTCTCCATCCTTGCACTTATATATTGCACCTCACCTCGCCTCTTCCTACCCTTCACCAAACCATATACGTACCTAAACAAGCACAGATATGCGCGTGTAGAAGTGACCAATAACGATTGCATTAGACAAAACTAAGACACAAACATAACAAAACTAGCTACCTTATGAGAACAAAATCTCATGACTAAACCCATGATCTCCTATATCGATACCACACTAGTACGCTCCTCTCCTTGTGTAGCCTTGTGCAAAATCACCCGTGACACACACAACGATAGCGGTAAGCGCTGTTGATCGGATCCTTAGCATCCACCGGAACCTGCTCGGATCTGCACTTGAATCTGCAGCCTCTGCACTCATTGTAAGTGCAAGTGGGAGCAATGGAGCCTATCAACAACCTTCTTGCATTCCATCTCCGAAATCCTTCTGTTCTCAAACCCTAAGTAAATAGCATACGACTTTAATTAGTATATATATAGTCACACACAACTATATATCGGGGGGAGAGAGAGAGGAAAAAAAAAGTAGGTAAAATACCTTTGAATGCAAGCTCGTGTCAAAGTGGGGAAGGACATGTGTATCCCTTGCACTTAGACCTGCAGTATTAGTGTATATAATAGATTAAAAATGAGAATATATATAAAAATTAACTGTGACAAATTAGAGATTTTTATGAGGAGCTAGGAACCTGGTTTAAGAAGAATAGAGAAGAGAAAAAAGAGGAGGAGGAGGAGGAGGGAGGACTTAGGAGTGAGGTTTATTAAGGCCATGGTTTCGGGTAGAAAATGAAAGGGTGTTGTGTGTAAAGAAACAAAACTGGAAAATATATATATAGAGGGAAGAGAGATTGGATAGGGCCCATGGAGATTAGCTTGCGCTTTTGCAACTTGCCAGTGACCAGTGAGGATCATTTATTTGGTTGATATTCTAGAACGGTCTCAAAGATGCGAAGTTGGGACTCAATCATTTACCGACAATAATTGTATCTTATGCATGTTTGGGGGATTTGGGATTCAAGCGAAATGTATGCCCATACGTAGCTAGCTGTACGTTTAGGTTTTACAGTGAGCATTTCAAATGAAACCTCCTTAGTTAAATATTTGCGAGTGCCTCTGAAGTATTGTGGTAAATCTTTTAAGGGAAAATTGCTTGGAGGAACTAAATATATAATTGGGTTATGCATTCTCACCCCCCAACTAGAGTCAACCACTTGTAAGCACCTTGACCCAAGTTCTCATGCTTTTACACCCCTAGCCCAACATTGTATATGTACTTTATAGTGTATTTTTGAGTATTGCCCATTTTACCCTTTGTACTCATTTGTGGAGGGAGTAAAGTATTTTGTCTTATTGGCCAACATAGCAAGCCATCATGAATTCGGAAGTCACTTCCGATTGGGAGTTATGGCTGGAGAGGTTTTTTGGAGGGAAATCTACTAAGTTCCCTCCAAAATATTGCCTCATATCAATGTATTACGTTCTTCCTTCTTTAGATCTACTCCCAAGACCTTCAACAACCTTCAACAACCAAAATTTTCTTAACTTTTTCCTCTTAACTTCTTCAACAACCAAAATAGAAAATTCTTTAACGTGTGTGATTTCATTTAACACTAATGCAACCCTCAATAAAGTCAATTCAGCAATAAGTTTAGCTGAATTGAAGATGCAAGCTGCAGAGAATTTTAGAGTATTGTACGAAAGTTTGTTGATAAGTTACTTTATCGATAAGTTTTCCAATGTCTTATTTGAGCTTTCAAAAGATAAAGATATTCTCGACATGATAGATTATCATCGTTCAATGGGGTTAAATATGATAAACATAACTGTTACTAAAAGAGATGGAGGATCCACACATGCCATAGGGACAAAAACATAGCTTAAGTAAGTATTTAAAAGTATATTATCAGGTTCTGGATACACGTTATAATGGGAACTGTGATATTTACGTCTTATATGTGACCTGAAGACATCGCACATGACATATTGCCTTTATTTGTGACACATTGACTTTATTTGTGATATTTACGTCTTATATATGACTTTACTGGTAATTGTCACACATGACTGATATATATGTTACATTCAACTTGCAATGTTCCTAATGTAAGCTCATAGTCATCGGAGCATATCGAGGAACCTTATGAGAGGATCTCAATCGAGGAATCAGAGAGGATCCCAAATGACAATCCTCAAGGAGAGCATGTGTGGATGATGAACGACGCAATAAAGTGACTCGTCACGGATCCCAGCATGGTGGTACGAGGCAGTTATTGGAAAATGATAGCAATTTGAAAGCGCAAAAGAAGTTAGAATGGCTCTTATATACTACTCTATAGCTAAGAAGTTCGCTTTTAAATATGTTAACAATGAGCCAAAACGTATTCATGCTAGTTGCATGTTCAGAAAAGAAACAAAATGCCCATGGTCGCTTTTTTTGCTTCACCATTGAGCCATGTGTCGACCTTTGCTATAAAAAAAATTATTCCTCAACATACTTGTGGACAAATAACAACACAGCTGGTCACTCCAGAGCATCAAGAAGGTGGATTGCAAGTATGCTACAATCAATTATGAAGAGGTGTTCATATATTACCCTAACTGACATTAGAAAGGAATTGCACTCTCAATATGGCTTAAGAGTTAATTATTCTAAAGCTTGGCATGCTAAGGAGACAGCAAAAGACTAAATATTTGGTTACGCAAGACATTCATATGATTTACTATCCTAGTTAGTCCATTAATTTGTTGATGTCTCCTTTAGAACATATATGTATCACAGTTAACCGTAAATATGACATGTCAGAACGCTATGTGACAAATACGCGTTGTATGTAATTTTTCAAAGTTATATGTGACAACTAACTCCTACATGTGATATTTAGACCTTATATGTGATATTTTGACCTTATCTGTGATGTTTGAGTATTACAAGTGATAGTTAGATCTTGATCATTATTTAACAAGTTATTTTGACCATTATTTTAAGGTACCAAATGAAGGTGATGGAAACAAACTCAGACAATGATTTTACCATTGAACAATAAGAAAGGAGATTCAAATGATTATTTGTGTCGCATGGTGCATGCATACAGGGGTTTCTCAATGGATGTAGGCCATTGCTCTTTCTAGAATGGATCTTATTAGATGTGACTGCTTATGATGGTAATCAAGGCATATTTCCACTCACATTTTGTGTTTGTGACCAAGAAAATAAAGCGAATTAGAGTTGGTTTATTCAAGGATTGCAGTATATTTTGTACAATCGAATATAACCATACAATCCACCCCATCCTCTAGTAATTTTGTCAGATGCCGACAATGGAATAAATAATCTTTAAAAGATATATTTCCAGATGCGTACCACTCTAGATGTGTACTTCATCTTATTGAGAATTATAAATTAAAGCTTAGAGAGATGAGTTTTGCCTCAAGTGTTGCTCAACATATTTCAAAATTGTTAGAGTTTGTTGTATACAAGTATACGGAAAGAGAATTTAAAGCTGTTTTATATAAGATTAGGATGACAGATCAAAGAGCTTACCAAGTAGCTCTAAGATATGGTCCAACTAATTGGGTGAATTCTGTATTTTTTGGTATAAGGTACGTCTGATATCAGCTATTTTCTATGAATTTGAGTTATTAAATATCACATTATGCTTTTATATATGATGTTTGTCTGTTACATGTGACTCTTAGTTGTGTACTGTGATCTTTTGCTGTTGGTTATGACATTTGTTGTTTATATGTGACACATGGCTGTAATTTATGATAGTGAATTTTTGCTTGATATACAGATATGGTCATATCACTTCCAATGTTGCTGAAACTTTCAACAATTGGATTCGTGTGGCAAGAACATTTCCTATTTGTGATATGATGGATCACATTCGTGTGCAAATTATAGAAAGGATGAATACTCGCCGCGAGATGGCAACATAATGGAATAACTATCTATGTCCTGAAGCGGAAAAAACCTTCAAGAAAATATCACCAAGGGAATCACTCTTGAAGTATCGCATTCTATAGCTAAAATCTTTGAGGTATCATCACAAAAATCAGTACAAGTTGATTTGGAACACAAAACATGCACGTGTCGTGCATGGGATATATTGCAAATATCATGTAAACATGCGTGTGTTGCTATTAACTTTATGCATAGAGATGTGTACCAGTTTGCGATTGGTTCATGACGATTGAAGCTTTCAAGAAAAGTTACGATTCAATTCTCTTTCTTGTTTCAAATTACGACAAGCCAGATATTACAGATAAAACTATTAGCATGCTTCCCCCAAAGACGACAAAGAGATGTAAAAGGAACAAGAATAAACGTATAAACAACAGATCTGAGAATAGATGTCCAGTTAGATGCTCAAGATGTCACACTGAAGTACATAATCGAGCCACGTGCACTGAACCTATCCAAGATTAACATTTCCTGGCAGAATGCAAACTCTTTTGTGACTTTTGTCTGTTATATGTTACTTTTGCCATTTTATTGTGACATTTACTACTTATATATGACATATTATCTGTTCGTGTGACTTGTTGGTATTAACTATGACACCTGTAAGAACTTTACTTTCAAATTTAATATGTTAAAGAAAATATCACCAAGAATTTACAAACATTACATAAACACTTTATCATTTACAAACATCTAGTAAAACATCCAACATTCATCATCCAACAAATGAAACAGTTATATGTAGAGTCTAATATTTCCACTCCTAGTAAAACATCCAACATTCATCATCCAACAAATGAAACAGTTATATGTAGAGTCTAATATTTCCACTCAATCAAAGGTACATCATTCCCTTCATCCAACAAATGAAACAGTTATATGTAGAGTCTAATATTTCCACTCAATCAAAGGTACATCATTCCCTTCAAAGTACAAAACATATTCTGGATCATCAATGACTAACTTCAATCGTAACTTATTGTATTCACGACCTTCGCATGATTTGAGCAGCAAGTCATGCCCGTAGCATTGCAGACTCCCTTTGCAAGGCTTTAATATTCATTATCTCCATTCCCTCGAGGATCGCCTTGATGAAAAAATATACATGTATGCCACAATCATATCTGTAAAAATATCACATAACACTTAAGAGCAGCAAATGTAACTGGTAACAAGAATATAACATAGGGAATGTACGAATATCACATAACAGCAACATATGTCACATAGAATAGCAAAATGTCACATAAGTGTAGCAAAAGTCACCCAGCAGACCAAAATATCATATGTAGAAGACAAATACCACACAAAATACCAAAATGTCACATGTATTAATAAACTGGTAAGTATAAGAAACTTACGAGCCTTTTTGTGTTCGACAAGAAACTGCTTCATATTCGAATGCTCTGAATGTCGACGCCTAGTCGTATCCACTCACCATCCTATCTAAAAATAGTTGGATGATCAACATGTATCTAGCCCATGCCTCGTGGTCAGTAGAGCTGTAATGTCTGTATTTTTTTACCCCAAATTGACCTCAAGGACATGCCAATGATCAGCGTGACATATCAGAATTATCAAAACATCCTTCCCGACATCTATATGCTTCTTTATATAATTTTTATAGATATTTCTCTCATCCAAATTTGAAGCAGTTAGCAACCAAATCTTTAGAAAAAAGAAAAGAAAGTAAGCGGATGAACGTCAAATAACATATTAATGCAATATAACTCAAATTGTGTTATGATTGACATTACTCACACTTAAATATGATGTGATAATAGCAAATTTTCTTTTCCGATCGGCATTTTCTGGCAG